CTTAATTTGCATGAACTTTTACTCGACATTCTCCAAAAGTATGACTTTTGTCTTAATTTTTCTTGACAAATTCTCATTTATATTAAATTTGTATGAAATTTACTCGACATATTCTCGACATTCTGAATATGGTCTTAAAATTTCTTGACAAATTCTTGACATTTGAATACTGCCTTGAAATTTCTCGACATTCTTATTTTTTCTCAGTATGGCTTGACATATTCTGAACATTTTGAATCGTGTCTTAAATTTACTTGACAGTTCTGAGTTTTACAAATCATGACCAATATTCATGATATAACTTTAATCTTTATTTCTCTTTATATGATATACTGTTGTTTCAAGTTACACTTCTTTACAACAAAAATAAAAGTTGGGCATGTAAAATAATTGAAAATTTGGGTATATAAATATTTTTACAAATGCAAATATGGCTATGAAATCTAAAGTATAAAATAATTCAAATGTGGTTGTGTTGATATAAAACAATTTCAATGTGGGTTTTTAAATAATTACAAATTTTGATTCCTAAATCTTATAAATTAAATGATTCAAACCAATCATACTGTAGACATATTTCATTCTACATTCATAATATTCAATGTTGATATGGTAAATAATTATTATACCAAAATGTGGTTTATATAAATAGCAAATTATGATGATATACAAATCATTCATTTAACAGAAGAAAAATTTGTGTAATGTCATCTGTTGGAATATATTAAGTATTACACATGGACAGGATGTTACCCATAAATTTAAGGTATTCCACACCCCAGAGTACACGCAACTGTCAAATAGAAGTTATTGCTTTACCTGTAATCAGCCATACAACTTATCAGTTGACCGACCATGCCACTGCAATTTAAAAAGTTTGTTGATAGATGAAAATGAAAATCATCATTTTGATGAAAAAAAATTGAATTGAAATGGATTTTCTTCATCAAAATTATGAAGTTAATTATTTTAACATAAAAACAAATTGAATAATTCCCAAAGATTAAAAGAAAATTATTATCTACTCCAGGAATAATAAAAAAAATGTATTTATAATGGGTCCCATCAATGATTTCTATAGAAATGGTTCTCAAACAGACATGCATAATATAGATCTAAACATTTTTTTCTTTTCAGGAAGGAGTTTTTTTTATTATTTATAAAAAATTATAAAATTCAAAACTCAAATTTAAATAAAAAATGTTTTTGGGTTGTTCTAAAAAATGAATAAGGTTTTTGAATCAAGATGGGAACAAATTCTTTGACCTAAACGAAAGCCCCCCCTCTTTTTTTAGCTACACAAACCCAAAAATGAATTGTGGTGTCCAAAAGAGATACAAGACACCTATTTTAGTAAAGCAAATTTGACTGGCAGTTTTGCGAACGGCAAAAATCTAAATGCTGTTTGTCAATACCTTCTACTTATATTCCAAGTGAAAACAATTACTTAAATGTTTAATAAAAATAAATCAAAATTAAACTACATGGGGGATTATTCAGGGTATTACAACTTAGTTGCACCAAAAGGGTATCTTACTATATATACCAAATTAGTCCTTCATTCTTCAAAGTTTAGTTTAGCCATAATAAAAAGGAGTATATAACAGCAATAGAATGTCATAAACAGTGCAGAATAAGTCTGTTCACATTTCAGGCAAAATTTATACTGTTGAGATAGTGTCAAGACATATTTAAGACTGTCAAGAATGTGTCGAGACATATTCAGACATTATTTAGAATGTCAAGAATATGTCGAGACATATTCAGACATTATTAAGAATGTCAAGAATATGTCAAGACAGATCGAGACAAATTTAAGACAGTCAAGAATTGGTCGAGACTAATCCAGACTCTTATCAGATGATACAGGAAGTGTCGAGAAATTTTAAGACAATGTTCATACTGTCAAGACACTTGTCAAGAAAAATCAAGAACCTTATTAGACAAATTCATACTATGTCAAGAATTTTTAAAAATTATTCAGACAAATTAAGAATGTCGAGTAAAAATTCATGCAAATTCAGACAAAAACTGGTCTTTTCAGACTTTTTGACTTTTGTAGTGAGACCGATTGCAATTTCAAAGCCCGATTAACCACTTCCCCTTTTTGCATATGGAAATTGACCTACAATTGTCGTAATAAGGTACGCTCGTGGTTAAAATAATTCGAAAGCAAAATCTCTAAGCCGCTTCAATGCTTACTACCTGAAAAGTGCTTTCATAAACCATCCAAACCCGTCAGGTTGCCCTTATATTAATAAGTTGGGACTTCAGTTTTATTTTTTTTGGAGCTTGAAATAAGCAATCAAAATTGATGATTTAATGAATACAAATGCACTGCGCTTGCCACTGGTTTACGGTACATTCTAAATAACCCGGAATATACAATTGATATAGAAAAATATTCATTTCAGAATTACGATGAAGTTTTGTTGTTTGATTGTTATCATCCTCTGCACAATTCGTGTGTCTAATGGCGACAGTAAGTATGTCATAACTTGCGCAGCATGTTCACTTAATGGTTAACACGCTTTTTAAACTGCTTTTATGACCGCCAAAAACTTATATTTTGACGTGTGTACTGCTGAGATTCGGGGTGAAGGTCAAAACAAGTTCCGCGTGCAAGATAACTTTGAACTCTGTTTGCCAAGCTAAACATAGTTTAATCAAAATAGTATTTTCGTACAAGACCGCTTTCAATCGATAAAATGTTTACAACATTTGTAAACACTAGAGTTGAGGAGACATTTAAAGTGGAATAAAAACCGTCGAAAAGTGCTGATGTTCAAAAAACTCACTAGAGAAATGCGTATGAGCGTTGCTTAAGTTACCAGAATCTCCATATTGGGGATGCTGACATTGATAAATATGATTTTTCAAGTAAAGATCAAACAAATTACATTTAATGTTCAATTCAACACATTTCACCAGAAAAAAAAAAACAAACTGTTAGATGAATATGTATGCACATAATTTGAACAAATTGGTTAAGGTACTAGTACTCGTAACTCGTAAGTAATGTATGTAAGGTATCGTTTTACAGTAGTAAGTTAAGAACACGTAGGTAGATATTGAAATTCTGATTTAAACTTTTAACCCTGCCAGTGGAGATCAAAATGAGAGGTTTGGTTTTCAATAGATATGGACTTTCTAGAAACTCATTTCTGCGTTTATTAATTTTATTTAAAAATGAAGATTTGAAGCAATTTATTTTCCTAGTTCGGTAGTATAACTTTCTTCGCGGCAATGAAAAACAACAAAGTGTTAACGATTAGCGCTAATTAGTAAAGTGTTATTTTCATTTTTCATTCAAAACTGTGTCGTGGTGTATTTAATCTTTACATTCTTATTACTATGTTTACGAATGTATTCATACAACATACGAGTCAGCATGAGGACGAAATAGTACTTTATTTCACGCTTAAATGCGGGTTAGTTATCTAAATTTATTTGCATGATCAAATATCTAAGTATAAAAGTGTAACATAGCGATGAGAATATAAAATTTAAATGACACCAACTTTTAAATACCTGACAGAGTGAGTGGGTAAATTTAGATAACGAAAGTGGAAATTTCAGTTGGATTCTATCCAAGCGTTCATTTTGTTCAAAAGACAAGAAAACTTATTTGAAGCAAGGGTAAGTTTGTTTTTTTATTAACTATTCTTCTCAAAATGAACATAATTCATCTAATGTAAAATGTTAATCTATCTTTAAATACATTATACTATTTCAACCAACGGAAAGAATAGAAAAGAACTGTTCTAATCGTGAAATAATCAGATTTATATATAATGTTGACATTTATAATCCTTACTCCAACAACACGAAAGAACATGTCGATTTTTAGATTAAGAAAAAAAAACGACAAAGTTTTATATCAGTACTTTCTGTCAGAACAAGAAATAAGTGACGGAGATAAAACAGTATTATAATACTATGTCTTTATATACACCTGTATTTATAGACTGTAAATTTTCCTGTCGTCATTTTGTTTTGCTACGTTGCTGTCCGTTGTTTGATAATGTAGTGTGTTTGATGTCATTTTATTCCACCCTCTTTTTTACTAATTAATTCATACACAGCGTTTTCGTACGAAAATCAGAGTGAGCATTATGACGAATAAGTGATCTGCTTTTTTTTTCCATCAATTTGTTTGTACAATTGGATAATATGTATTTTATTATTTAAAATGTTAATATGCATGTAGACAAATACACCCCAGACTTGCTTTTTGGGGCTCACTGTGTAAAATTAATATAGAAAGTTGTTGTTTTGATCACATATCTATATATAGAAGTGTGTCATATCGCTGTTAATAGGAGATTTAAATTACAACGGCCTTTAAAATACGTGACTAGGCAAATTTTATATCGAAAGTGGAAATTCCTGTTACATGTTTACAAGAATAGCAGAATTATTTGTAGCTAGGGTATGTAGGTTTCTCATTAAATATACTCTCAGGATAAACAAAAGTTATTTCTTAAACATTTGTATGAAAAATTCAATCAATTATGGATTTTTGTTTTATTGGAATGGTTACTCACACATTGTTAATGAAATCCAATGCCAGTTATACAAGTGAATGATTAAGTTAGCTATAAAAACAGGTATAAGAAAATGCCTGTACCAGTCAGGAATATGACAGTTATTGTCCATTCGCTAGATGTGTTTGAATACTCGATATTGCCATTTAATTATGTTAATATAGGACTTTCCGTTTTGAATTTGCCATGCAGTTCGGTATTTTTGCCATTTGACTTGTTATGCTATTTTATTTCTGAAAAAGATATTTAATCATTTTATAGCATTGTTTGGAAGATATAATTGATAATTTACAGCAAATATGAACAGAAACTCAAGATACAATGAAGATGATAGCGATCAAAATGTACTTGGAATGAGAAAAATTACGCACTGGGAAAAATACGGCGTCAAACGTTTTCCTTACCCTGGAAGGCGCAGATTCACACCATTAGTTTACCAATCTGAAGAATGACGTATTCGGGCTTACAATCAGACAGTTTGAAGTAATGTATAAAGCATGTTTAGACAGAAGGAAAGCACAGGAACAGTATATACTTAACCTAAGATATCCAGACAAAACTTCAGATGAATATCTGGAATTCTTAGAACAGTACAGATTGCAATACAGGTAATACTTAGTTATATTTGTAACATTAAAGACAATCATATTTGTGTAAAAGATTTTGGTAATGCTGATGTAATATGTTTAACTGTATAGACAATGACAATTGTTTACAAGAGAGAAATCATACTGCTGTAATACAAATAAAGAAAAAGTCTTCAACTAAAAACACTTACTAGTAGTTTGAAATTGATAACCATTACCCAAATATAAGAGGACAAAACTAATAATTAAAAAGAAAAACAACAAAGAAACAAACAAGTTCACAAAACATCGCATAAGACATGTTTACTTAAGAACAGGAACTTAATCGAAAATTGCAATTAAATGCAGATTATTCGGAATGTATAGGTTCCTGCCCTACTATATCATGTGCTGCTAATGAAAAGACACATTATTGATACGTTGCATTAAGTTATTCATCACCATAAAACAGGTTTGATACACTACAAACTTTGGTCAATCCATTGAACATGTTGAATGAATTGCAAAGCATGATGGACTACTACGTAGTTACAATGAACTGACAACACGAGCTTGTTTAGTAACATAATAGCAAATATTTCAAAATTTAAGGGAAAATATGACTTTTCCTCGAAAATGATTACATTTACGTTCCATCATATAAGGTACTAGTTCTATACGAAGATTATGAATTAAGTATTTCTGTCCAAGGAAAAAAAAAATGTTTGAAATAGTAAAACCATAGTCACTCATATTAGGGGAAAATGAGTCGTTTGTTTACGAAACAGCAATCATACAATACAAAATAGAATGCTCCTAAACATTTCAGTTTTATCGTAATATAGGTAAAGGGAGTACATGTCAAATATCAGTTAAATCTACTCAGAATATATTTTTTAAAAACTTTATTTTACTTTAAACACTCTTTTGAAAAGTTCATTAAAAGTGAGTTAAAAGAACATGACATTGCCCAAACAATTAAATCCAAATGATGCACACCTTTTAAGATCATCAGAATTTGTTTTCAGGTATAACAACATGCACGGAAGATTGCACTGTCATTGGTTTATTCTAAATGTTAAAATCCTTTAGAATTAATGAGAATATAATTTCTTTGATCCTCAATATATTTTTTTTTATTTTTTAATTACACACGTTTTCTTAGCCAAACTGGGACTTTGAATATATAACTACAATAACACGTTGTTTTTTCTTTTCTTTGTTTCTGCGCATCAATTTTGTGCCATGTTCTAATATACTATGTCCTTTGTTTTCTTCTACTCATGCTAAAAAGACGTGTATATTGTACGAGTATAAGTTGTGGTTATCCATGTTTTAAACTTTGAGTTGGACCAATATGTTTTGTAAATGTCAAATAGACAGCAATCAAAGCATAAAAAAACCAACAAATAGTTAGCACATGAAGACTTCAAAAATAGACTAGTGTCCCAGTCTAAAAGTACATGTTTTATGACACATTATTGAGAATATAAGCAGGTCGAACCAGTGCAGGTAAAAGTTGTGCCTGTCTTTACACCCATGCTGCCCTCTGAGGCATGCAACGCTTAATATTAGATTGGATATATGTGTCCAATCATGTGTGATTTATAACAGATCATTGTTTTTGAAAGATTTAAGAAAACACGAGACATTAGTTTTAAAGAGCTCGAATGCTTAAGCCGCTGGACGTTACAGGTAAATTCTGAGCAAGTAAATTGAAAGAGGTTTTATACATAGGAGGTATTACATCAAATGATAAAATAGTGAACATTAGATCCGAGATACAAAACAAAATCACAATGTTAACCAAATTCAACGTGTTATTAAATGAGACTTAACTCGAAGTAGCTTACACAGAACGTTTGTTCATTGTGTCAATAGTTAAATTTCTCATTGGCATGTTTTTATAATGTATTACTGAAATGTCATTGGAGTATTTTTGATTATACATTTTAGCGATGAATAGCAGTGATAAAACCTTATATACACACAAGTCAAAAAGATTGTCAAATAATGTAGTTAAATGAATATATATTTTACAGGTCCTGTAATGAAAATGATTCAAAGGAAAGATACTTATATGCATACTTAGTAAATACAGTTGGTACTGAAATAGACATACGTAAAAGACAACAATTATTTTTCATAAAAGATATGATAGATAATACAGATGTGTCGGAAGTAACAACAATATCAAGTGGAAGTTTATCAGAAGAACTTGATTTACCAGGTAGTGACATAGATATCATGTGTGTCATCGGAGACGTGGACGTTATACAGAATCTAAAGAATATCAAACACCCACGGCAAAATACAACACTGGTTATGGAGACTGATAATGATCATCCTGTATTTAGTAGACTCCGATTGATAGTATGAGGGGATGGAGAATCTAGCTTTATAACATACAAATGCTTTGAAGTAACTACAAAAGGTTTATATTTATCAGTGAACGAATTTGTAAGTAATTTAAAACAGCTAATGCCATATCTTCACCTATCATCACACGGGCCCTGTTTATCGAATAAACATCAATACTTGGATTATACAGTCTGTATTTGAAGTAAATATCTACCTTTCAAAGCGATACAATGGGCGTCACGTTATCGACAGCAATGGTCCCCTAGTTTTGCAATTGATAAGGTTATAGAATATGGTTGTTTGTTAGTACCTATTGGACCAAGGACTATGCCAGATTGTAATGTACTGTGGAGAGTATCTTTTTCTGTGGCCGAAAAACACCTTGTACATTCGTTTAATTATACCCAACTCCTATGTTACGGTCTCCTCAAACTAACATTAAAGCATATAGCTAACACAAACAAACATGTTGAAGGTTTGTTGTGTTCTTACTTTCTTACAAGACAGCTTTATTCTTGGTCTCAGAAGAAGAAGATATTGACACATTCCAATTACCAAGATTGTTTTATTGTTTTATCCAATGCATAAAGAAATTGATTTTATGGGTAAACAAATGTTTCTGTCCGAACTATTGTATACCTGAGCACAACATGTTCCAAGGAAAGATTTGTCCGGATAACAATGAAATGCTGATACAAGTTTAGGATAGCATAACAATTGATGGAATGGATGGTTTGATAAAGAATTTGTATTTCAACGACCATGAAAATTATTCTTTATTAAGTTTAAAGATTGAATTTTCGTTCATTATGTTAGACTTCTTTTTTTACAGGATATGTGGGACATATGCCAAGGAAGACATTTTCAGATGCGTGAAAGCACTTAATTTTATGGAATCTTTAATTAAGTCCAAATCAAATTCATTTATAATTGAGATATGCAAATATTATCATGCTGTAATAAGTCAATATGCAGCGCAATTACTACCACCACCAACAAAAACGACTGAAACGTACAACATACACAAATGTTATCATAGACATTTACAAGACGGTACGAAAACATATGCTGTTTCTGGTTGGTTGCTATACGCGTCGTTTTATTACGTTACAGGACAGTTCTATGCTACACTAAGACTAACTGATTATGTTCAGTCAAGATGTTCACCAAATATGATGTTAATAGGATGTGTGAACTACAATGAAAGACATATCAACAATTACAAAAATCGTGTCCATTCTACAATGACACTGAAAGATAAGATGAGAATAGCTACTATAAGAAATGTTATATACTTGCAGGACTCATCATTGATACCAGGGGAACTACAACAGGAGGTGAAATACCACGACGAGTCTTGGTTTCCTACTGTTCTTTCTCATTGCCTTAGATTTTTATGCTTTCATCATCTTTGTGATTTTTCTAAAAGACAAAATGCTTTACGTGATTTACACTTAACAGTAAACGATGTGAAGAAATATTTCATTTCGCCAACTTTATTATCTGAATCATTTATAACACTTGGTGTATGCTATGATATATCCGGTGATAAGGACGCAGCATATCAGTGTTATGACGAAGCTTTGCAATGTGATGGTAGCATATGTCCTTCAGCAAAAGAAAGAAAATCTAAACTTTTTTTCGTTTTAATATTTTAGCACCAACAGTCATTGGAGTTATATGATACCAGTCAATTAAGTAACAGCATACATTTGTATCTGTATATTCATGTGACGTTTTTTTATTTGATATCGGTCATTTTAGACTGAGCTTATTCAGCTAATTATAGGAGGTATGCTAATTCTGCTACATGTATGACATTGATCGTGTATGCCTTGTTAGATATTCGGAGTACTCATCATTGTGACCAAAGGAAATCAGCTGGAGGTTTAGCCAGTCATCAATGTTCTTACTGCCTTAGATACACATGCCATGAACATCTTGGTGACATGCTAAAACAGTAGGCTTTACGTGTCTTATATTGTAAAATGAAGGAAACATATTTTAATTCCATCAAATACATGTGATTCATTAACAATACGTGTTATGTGACATGAGGATAAAGACACATACTGTCAGTGTAATGATAGTGCTTTGCAAGATAAAAGGAGGACACTTAATACTGTTGACGTCTAATGTACTTGTAAACTTTATCATTTGGATAAAACTGAATATTACTTCAATATGAAATGGTTTTCGTTTGTTTTGTACATTATAACGAAATACAATAGTGTATTGAAACAATTTAAAACATTTGACTTCATGATCTTTTTTTGAAAAATGAATCTGTTTTGATTTCAATCAAATGGATTGTATTTAGATGTACCTTTACTGAATTGGGTACATGACTAGTGGATTACAATTCAAACGCAAAAGCAAGCGGTCTAATCCACTACAAACCAGTAAAAGTCTGAAATGGCCTATATCTGTACTCGACTGTACTGATTTTTACTCGACCAGTCTGAATTGGTCTGAAATTTACTTGATAATACTCGACTGTAGTCTGAACCATACTTAACAGTCTGAACTTGTACTCGACCAGTACTTAACCATTTTATACGTGTCTGAACCATGCTCGACCTAGTCTGAACCATGCTCGACCTAGTCTGAACCATACTCGACCTAGTCTGAACCATACTCGACCTAGTCTGAACCATACTCGACCAAGTCTTTACCAAACTAGACCTATTTTTTGTATCTATCTATTGTATTTCATCAATTTAGGAACTGTTTTTAACAACAACTATTTCCCCTGGCTAGAAATTTGAACAACAATTTGAAATTAAAAATGTATTCAATATAGCATTGAAACCAAAATTTCACAATAAACATACATGTAATATAACTTCATCACCATATTCATCAACACTTATATACATACATATATATCACCTTTAAAATAAAAATAAAACAAGCTGATCAAATAATCTCAAAACTGAATTGTGACTTATATTTTCAATGTTATTCAAAAAAATTTCAGATATATTTTATGGTTACAGGACAATTTTCACCATTTACTTAAGCCTCATATATATTTATGGTGTCAGTTGAGTTTAGTTAATAATGCAGTGAACATTTTTTTTATTAAAATATATATAAAATAGCATATAAATTTTAAAGCAACTTAATAAATTTAAAAAAAGACACCTTTGTTTTGTTAAACCAAGAATTTAATATAATCATGATAATAGAACTTCCATAGTAATCCTGTGATAAACTTTTAAAAAAGGAAATGTGTTCCAAAGTTACAGTAAAAATTTATTTCAATTAATTTAAATAATTTTTGTCAAAATTAAAGACATGGCATACAAGAAGCACTTTAATAAGGTTTAATTACCTCAGTACATGTGTGTTTTACAGGTAAAAAGAAAGCCCTATTTTTCTTAAACTTGTGTATTACTTATCTAGTGAATTCAAAAGGCCTTGCGATTTAAGTTTCACAGGATGTTGCAATTTTGAATGAATGTTATTTAGAATTTAATACTCTCTGACCAGGTGTGATCTTTTTCATGAGTTTGCCCCAAGCAGGAGGTATTACTTTATACTTCCCCACTAATCAGAAGAACAATTTTATTAATTTCTTTAATTTTTATCCCTTTTTGATATATATTGTATATAATATATCCCAAATTATAATAATAGATATATTACTAAAATAAGGTTAAACAATTTCAGTGATTTTGTTGGCTGTTGTTACCTCATTAAAAAGATAATTATATAACTATTGTACATTTTTTGTATGTAACCATGAAACCTATGTAGTTTTTATTTAGGAATTTAGGAAAATTAATTAAAAAAAAAAAACACATGCCAAACAAGAAGCACCTTAATAAGGTTTAATTACCCTCAGTATAGGTGTGGTTTTTAGGTAAAAGAAAATCTTTTTTTAACAAAACTCTAAAACTTTAAAATTAATATAATTAAATTATTATATAAGATAATTTGATTTAACTATCTCTATTCGATAAATCTGAGAATCATGTAAGAATGTAAAAATCTGTTTTCATAATATATCTTTATTGTGGCTGTTGTCATGTCAGTTAAAAAGAAATTTATTTTAAGTTAAAATTTAGAAAAAGTAGAGGTTATTTGGTCAAGTATGGTTCAGACTGGTCGAGGATTGTTCAGACCTTTGGTCGAGTATAGTTTAGACTGAAAAAAATAGGTCGAGTACAGGTCGAGAATGGGTTAAGACTGTTTCAGACTGGTCGAGTAATAGTTCAGACTATTTAAATGGCAAAGATAAGGGTCAAGTACAAATGAGTACAGTCGAGTATGGTTAAGACTGGGGTCGAGTAATGTCGAGTAAAATTCAGACCAATTCAGACTGGTCGAGTAAAAATCAGTACAGTCGAGTACAGATATAGGCCATTTCAGACTTTTACTGGTTTGTAGTGATCTATATAAAAAAAAAAGCTATGAAGGAGAAACACTTATGAACCACATCAATAAATGACAACCCCTGAACATCAGGTTCCTAACTTAGGACAGGTGCCAACAAAGACAATGGGTTCTAAGTTTTAATAGGTACCAACTTTAACCCTTATCTGAAACAATAGTGTAACATCACAACATAGAAAGACACACTATAAAGTATCAATTGAAATAGCCTAACTCAACCAAAGACATATAAACACAAACAAGTGAGTATACACTGAACGATTAAATTTGATTTATGACACAATGATAATAAAAAAATCAATGAAATAAGGGTTGATGTTCAACAATTTCAGAAAGACAACCATAACCTTGAACACAATGCCACCAAATAGAATAATGTACACAGGTAAATGAAAATAATTTTGTTGTAAGGTATACATTTATGGAGAACGAACATGTTCTTACCAATAAATAATTTTGTTTTTCATAGTACGAGAATAGAGGTGAAAATTTATAGTCAAACCAAACACTTATCAAAGCTGGTATATATCAAAAATAGAGAGACGAGATAAAACACTAGATAAGTAAACATTAAATAACAAAAAAAATATTACAAATTGTATCAACAGGTCCAATCAACACGATCGTACGATTTGTGATTACTCGCAGTTACTATAAGCTAGTTTAAAGCCAAAAACAATTAATAATAAAAAATCAGGCGTCAGAGACTACAATTAACTAAATCACATTCAAGCGATTTAGTATTTTAACGTCATGGACAGTCGAAGAAGACATTACTTGCCTTCCCTTTCATTTTGAATATGGGCAACGTATGATGGACCCTAATCTAAGTTACGAAATAACGGTTGCCCTAAGATATCCACAAACCTCAAAGGAACATGACATTGTTGTTTTTTTAAATATAATTCGAAGTATATACGCATATATATGTAATTTTTTCAGATGAGCCCCCTTTACAAACAGGCGATATAATACACTATATGAAAAAACAGTCATATTTATTTGATTACGTTTACAATTTCAATCCTTATTTGTTGAAAGCTTCAGTAACAAGAAAATTCATTTCGTTTTTATAATCATCATTCGTAAAAAAACCAACAAAAAAAGCCCACAAAAACGGATGTTTAATATCAAAACGGCGAAAAAAAAAGGAATGTTTGCATGCAGCGCAGCATTATAATTATACAATAAATGTTCCTAAGTCATTTTATATAGACTTTTGTTTCCATTTTTTTGTTTCCCTTTTTGTCTTTTGTTGTTGCCATG